TGGCCGGCGCAGGGACCCGCGCGGTGCGTGGGCAGGCGGAGCTGCGGCGTGTAGGACCGCACCGGCTCTGCTGGCCAACTGCAGAATGCTGAGCTGGAACGAGGGAGATGTGTGAGACTGGATGCTTTGCATTACCTTCTGAGCAAGCGTTTATGGTTGGTTTTTTTTTTTTTCAAGTGACAGTAGTCTGTTTATACCATTCAGACGCGTTTAGCAGTGGGACGTCAGCATGTTAAAGACATGTACTATGGATTGAACCTGAGATGGCTGTGTCCGAGTACTTACCCACAGTAACAGAAAACACCACAACAATGTGTTGATACGGCCCCTGTCACTGTACATCTGTAATTTGTTTAGCTTGCCAGAACCACTAGCTAAGATGGGAAGGGAGCAGGAGGCATGGTTCTAGGCAGAGACAAGGTCAGGTGTGAGCAGCACAGGCTCACATAGCAGAGAGATGTAGTTATGGGTGGAAGTTATCAACAAAAAATTCATAGTGCAGTTGTTTGCTTTACCACTGACCTTGGGGAATTCTAGCAGCTGTGACTTAATATTTCCTGTTATAAAATACACAGTGCAATTTGTGGTGGTTTTAGTGTCTTCAGTGGTTGCGTAAAAGTAACACAAAATAACAAATTTTGTATTTATGTAGTTTATTATAATAGAAAAAACGATTGTTGGATTGTCTTAAAATATGAGGTTTTCTGCACATTCTGGACTGCAAGTTCAAAGGAGGAGCCTTCTGATTACTTGCAGGTGGTCTTCCCAAGGAGCAAAGTATGTCTCCTTATGCTTGTGTAACTACTGCATTCTTGCAAATTGCTTCACATATCCGTTTTTTTCAGTGAGAGATCATGTCACAGTCATTTACTTGTTTTGTAAGGTTTCTATCTGTAAAAACTGCTGTACTCGTTTTCAGAGCTTTGTGGATTAAAGGACATCAGTTTTCCTACTTTCAGTGACATGTATTGTTCTAAACAACAGTGTTTCCCATTAAAATGGGAAGCTTTGCTCTTTTGTGGCAGAAGGAATAGTGCTGGAAGAGTGATTATGGCTTGCTGGTGAAGTCTTCCCGTTAAAGCTCAGCCACATTGCTGTAAGGCTTAGAATCCTGAAGGTTAATGTTTGAATGTTCCCTGGAATTGGCTTGTGTAGATGATGTGGAATTCCACAGAGAGCGTTTTACGTGGTATTGAAGTTTTTGTTTGGAGGGGTCAGTGCTGGGGTGAATAAAGGCAGAAAACTGAACTCGCAGGCACATGTAGACCTGTGGATTTTTTTTTAATTGCTGCAGCTGTATTCCTGCATGCTTGAGGAGGGAGGCTTTGAGAACATTGTAGCGAGCAAGCTGAGATGTGAATCTGACCCTTCCCTTACAAGTATAGCATGTGACCAGCTAGGGTTATGGGTTTGGGTTTTTTTCTTCCTGTGCAAGGTACAGATAGGCAAACAATAAAAAAGCTAAAGCTGTGGCCAAAACATATCACAGCTTACAGTTTTTGATTGCTAAACCAGATTGTTAAAAGTTTCATGACTGTGCCTAGCAGCCATTGCCTCACAAAAGAATCCCTTCTGTTTTGGGTGCATGCATCCCAAGGGGCTGTTGGTAATCACATTTACAGAATGCGTTTTTCTTCCTCCTCCTGGAAAACAGAATCTCTTTTACAACAGTAATGATTAACACCGGATGGTAACTTATCCATGTCATCGCTCGTTGTAAAAATGTGGTGTATAAGGACTGTGGCAAAAATGCAGAAGGTTATGTTTGTCTGTTAGCTGTGGGAGTGCCCTTAATGTCACTGGGGGTTTTTCCTTCCTTACCATATAAGGAGAGAAGTCCTGCTCCGCAGAGTGACTTGTGCCATATAAGGCTGGTTGGTAAACCCTTACTGAGTTACTAGAGCAGGAAGTAAAAACTTGAACTTAGTCACTCTGTGTTTTCTTAGCATACTGTATGCTCTTATCATTATGAGGACTCTTAACATGATAATAATTAACTTGCAACATTATAAATTTCCCAAGGGTAATATTTGTGAAAGCTTGCTTTCTTTCTCAAATCAGAATGTTCAAATTCTTACTGGTTTAAACGAAAAGTCTGAAGATAGAGGTTTGGAGTACTGCTGCTAAAGAGTTTAAATTGGGGTTAATGTGGATCTCTAAGAATGAAGTCTTTTCTACTCCTGGTTCTACATGTTCACTGCCAGTACTCATTAATGTTCAAATATATGTTAGTTTCCCTGTTTATGCATTACTTCCAGTCATTCTAGTGGGGCAATGTTACTGTTAGGTCAAAGGTTGTTTTACTTGTCCGGTGTGTAAGTTGTTCTTACTTGTGCTACATACAGCAAAGTTTTAGCTGTGGCCAACTGTATTCCACCGACTCGGGCTAGCAAAAGCAACAGATAACAGTTCCTTAAATTTTTAATTAGCGGAAAAGTACCAAACTTATACTTTTGGTACCTACTTTTGATAGAGGGTTGGCTTGCCGCCCCCCCCCCCCCCCCCCCCACCCCTCAACAACCCCACTCTGCTAGACTTCATAGGAAATCCAGATGTGTGCTTCCTCATATATAGTAAGATCATTTTCAGTACTAATTAAGAATAACTGTTATTCTTGGAAGTAATTAACGTTTTGGAATAATGACCCTTTTATATATATATATTGCCCTTAAAATACTTTTTAAAGAAATAAAGTTTAATAATGAGGTTACCTTGAGGAGTTTATTATAGAACTTGCTTTGCAACTTAAGCAAGTGTAGGTTTGAGAATATCAGAGGTAAAAGCTTGTAATGATAAGAGGATGAGTTGCAAGTGTTGTACAGGAGGTTAAGTGAACAGGTAATGCAAGAGAGGCAAATCTGGGGAATGTTTGAGGATGGCAGTGGGGGTGGGGGAGAGGAGAAGCGTTTTAAGTGATGGTTGTCTGTACCAGGGCCTTTCTGGGCTGTAGGCTCTGCTGGTGTCTTCTTTGTCAGTTCTTGCATAGCTTGCTTGTAAACAAAACTTCTGGGTATTTGGGCATTTCTTGGATGTTCTCATCCTCTTTCTGTGTCAGCTGTCTCATTACAAATGCTGATCTAGGTATATTTTTGCATGTTTACATTGAACCCTCTTACGGAACTCTAGGAAATATTTTGACAATTCTTACCAAATATGGCTAAAGGTCCTAAGTAAAGTATTTGGGATAACACAGAAGAATTGGCTAAGTAGTTTGTGTTGGACTGATTAAAAAAAAAAGGGGGGGGGGGGGGGGGGAGGATCTTTCTGTAAAGTCTCTGTGACTTAAGACGGGAACTATAATTGGTTAATGTCTGCAAATACAATAATGGAAAATATTTGGGGAACGATGCATAATTCTTCCAGTGCAGATCCTTCTAGTACAAGTTGTACAGTCCTTAATGTGCTTCATTTAAAGGAAGCATTAATCACTTTTTCCTCTGTTAAGCAATAACTTCACAATTCAATGAGGGCATGTACATCTCTCTACATTGCAATGGGCTTTTTTAGTGGATGAAGTCAGAAATAACTGAAATGCTGTTAAATGGCACTAACAGGTATATGGCATAATCTTTTGCAAGAGGTGATGTGTACCTCATTATGAATTAATTTCTGTTCTTCCTGTGCTTAGGCTGAGAGTGAAGTAGCTTCTCTGAACAGACGCATCCAGCTGGTTGAGGAAGAGTTGGATCGGGCTCAGGAGCGCTTGGCTACTGCCCTGCAGAAGCTGGAGGAGGCAGAGAAGGCTGCAGATGAGAGTGAGAGGTGGGTAGGGCCACTCTTGAATGGATCATTACCCTTATGACAAAGATGATAATTGCCAGGGTGTGGGTTAGGGAAATAAATTAAACCACTCCTATGTCTCTGAACGTGTGTAATCCATTCTTCCTTTGCATAAATGGACTTCAGTTACAGCTTGTCTGTAGGGATGTCCAGAATGTGTAGGCTTGAATTCTTTTTCGTGTCTCAGTTCTAAAGATAAGATTTAAGTGGGGTGGGACTTTTGATGTATCATGCCATATCCTGGGAGAACGACAACTTTTTGAGGGTGATGTTTACTCATGTGCTGTTGAGTGATTCTTGATTTCATTGTGGGTAGAAAATCTCACCTGGGGAATATCAAAGTGCTGGAAGAGGCTTTGGTTCTCCTGTTGGTGAAATTGGTACATGAAGGTAGTAAGAGAGAGAGAGCATGATAATTCCACCAAATTGAGGCTAGAACTTCCAGAAGTGCTTGATGTAAGTTAGGAACTCAAGATTTGTACTTTCAGAAGATCTTCTCTTTTTCCTTCTACAAGTCGTATTTTATATCTGTGATAGTACCTTTTATTGCAAAAGAACCTCATGTATTCTACATGTGTATTTCTGCCTCACTAACAATGCAGCCTGTTGAAAAACAAACTAAGTGCCCAAGACTGTCAGTGCATTGTGAAGTAGTTAATAGAATTTGGGTCAGACGTGCATGGAAGGGGCAATATGCAATGTTGCCTGTTGTGAAGGGGTTAAATTTTGCTTTTGGAGAGCAGAGAGGGCTTCAGTGTTCTAGGGCTCTGACATGGCAAAACTCATGGGAATCTGTTTGGCCCACAAATATAATGCCTGTGAGTCCTGCAGGGGTTGTAACATGCTGTTTCACGATGACTATCAAAGCACAGATGTCTTTAGTGTAAGAACTAAACAAATTAGATCTTCCTTCTTCCTAAGAACATGCTGCTTTCCTTTGAACTTCTGAAGTGTGAATGCACAGGACTAGATCTGTGGTGTGAAGAATCAAGTATCTGATGTGCTTCATTCATCTTAATACACCTGTCTGAAAGTTGCACTCCAGTAGTAGGAGAGCTGGAGATTAATTGGCAAGCCCTGAACCTTGCATTTCCTGTTTTTCATGTCTTTCAGAGGAATGAAGGTTATTGAAAATAGAGCCCAGAAGGATGAAGAGAAGATGGAAATCCAAGAGATCCAGCTTAAAGAAGCTAAGCACATTGCTGAAGAGGCTGACCGCAAGTATGAAGAGGTCAGTTCTTGAGTGCGTCTGATCAGTTCATCTGTTTCTCAAGCCCTGTAGGCTGTGCCTTTAATTCCTTCCGCCCCGCTTCGCCTTCAAGTTCCAAAGATCACAAACACTGCTCTTTGCAGCTGTAGAAGGAAAAATGGGCACCCGAGTACCTCAGGGGATAAGGTGGAAGGAGATCTGTGCTCAGATCTTTGCACTAAAATGGTTGAAAGTATTCCCTGGTCTCTTAAGGTAAAAAATATTTTAAGTTACCTTTTGGTAAATGAAAGACAAGTCTTAAAATGTCACATTACAAAGACGCAAATTAATAATGAAGATGTCACGTAACCAAAACTCATGTGTTGACTGGAAAAATGGAGAGAGGCCCAACTCCCTGCTTTGTAGGTTCTAGAAACATGTGATGTGCTGCAGCAATGTAATATCCCTGACTGTCATTTGCCTTTTCTTGTAGGTGGCTCGTAAACTTGTGATCATTGAGAGTGACCTGGAGCGGGCTGAGGAACGTGCTGAACTATCGGAAAGGTAAGTGCTGAACTACCCAGAGATGTGTGTGAGGTGCTACGAGACAGCTGTAACAGCATGAAACGTTGGCAGTACACTGTGTGTTCAGCGCAAGGCTATGTTTTGCTCGTTTACTCTAATGGTTGAAATAAATGGTCAGCGCCAAAGTAAATGTGTTCATATGTGTGTGCGCGTGTGTTTTGTCACTGCATGCTGTACCTGCACACTGATTTTGTGAATGGCTTTTGTGCATTTCATGTGTTCACTAACAGCCAAGTCCGACAGCTGGAAGAACAGTTAAGAATAATGGATCAAACCTTGAAAGCATTAATGGCTGCAGAGGATAAGGTACTGATACTAATAAACAGTTTTTAGGTTTAACTGCAACCCAAGTCTTTCAGCTTCCATAGCTGGTTGGTGCACTCAGTAGTAACAAATAGGTCCTCACTGTGCTCTTTACTCTCTTTGCATCTTGCTTTGGTGGTTTTCTTTGGTCTCTTTTTGTTTATTTATTCATTAATGCTTTTAAAACTGATCTCTTGTGCAGCCAAAAAGAAGCTGAACTGTCTCACGTGTAAAGGCTATGTAAATGTTCTTGTGTAAGCAAAGGGCTATAGATAATTTCTGTCTGGTCATCATCTTAATGCACACTTGAAATGGAATTTGGCGTTGTAAGGAGTTGCTTTCACTCTGTGATGGATTCAGCTGCTTTTGAGGCTGTTCTTTTGCTCTGTAATTGTTTTCATTTTTCTCTGTCTTTCCCCCCTGTTTTCTCCTGTTTCTTTTGCTTGACTGAATCTTCCATCCGCCCCTTCCCTGCCTTCCTTCTGAAATAACAGCAAATGTGCTGAGCTTGAAGAGGAGTTGAAAACTGTGACCAACAACCTGAAGTCGCTGGAGGCTCAGGCTGAGAAGGTAGGCTAGAGACTTCTGTGAGAATGTGTCCCTAACGTTGTCATCTGGATTGGTATGTGGGGTTTTCTTTATAAGCTGATCGCTTTGCAGTATTTCGACAAGGCCATTGTCAATAGAATTATTTGGCCTTACTACTCAATTCATACTTGGCTCTTACCAGAACCCAGCATTCCTTCTAGTTCCAAGTAGGTCAGTATTATTTGACCACATGTTCTGTTAAGTTGTCTGACAGGATTAAATATTATTTATAAAATGTTCCTCAAAATGGCACTTGTGTGCTAATATTAAATTTCTCCAAATGCTACTCCTCTTTAAAACTGTCGTACTGATTGCTGCTCAAAGTTTCCAACGTATAGCACTGGAATGTAACTCAAGGCAAGTTTGGCTCTTGTAATAAAGTGTGTATTACCACAGTCTGGTAAGCGGAATTAAGTTAGTTATACCCATATTAATTTCTTGTATACACTTGATCTATGAGAAGGGTTTCAAATGTGGTATTTTTTTATATATTTAGAATACGTAGTCTAACATTAGTGAACCATTTTGTAATTACAGTACTCTCAGAAAGAAGACAAATATGAAGAAGAGATTAAAGTCCTAACTGACAAACTGAAGGAGGTAAAATCAGAACTGTTCTTTACAACAGATCTTCCAGTGCAACTTTTGTTTCTTTTAATATAAATGCTACTTCGATGCTTTAAGGATGAGCATGTAATTTTGGAGACAGTTTAGTGTTAAATGTCTCCTAAAAATTACTGTTGCCTTATTATTTGCCTCCTTTCATTGTAGTTTCTTCCTCATTTGAATTGTTGCTCCTCTGTTCATAAGTACTATGTGCGTGTTTCCTAAAGTAGTCTGTATCTGTCTCGACTTCAGGCTGAGACCCGTGCTGAATTTGCTGAGAGGTCAGTAACCAAGCTGGAGAAGAGCATTGATGACCTAGAAGGTATGGGGTTTTGTTCTTCTCACTTACTGTAGAAATATCAGTCTTTTATTCTCCTGTTGTGGTTTGTTGTTTCGTTTTGTTTTTTTTTTTTTTCCCAGTACCCAATTCTACTCGTCTAACTTGTCCTGGTTATATAGATGAGTCTGCCTAAAGAGTAAAATAGGCAAAGTGTTTCCCCAGGTTGAAATGTATTGATAACTTAAATGTTTCAGGTGAACAGTGTTTTGCTCTTGCCTGTTCCTTTTCCTCTCATGTTCTCCAGACTCCTTTCATTTTTTTGCTTTACACTTCTCCACTTGGAGGTAATTAAATGTATAGGGTAAATATTAGCTGATAAATAATATTATTATCTTACTGAAGAGCTGTGTTATGTTTGTAATAAATTAGGTTAGCTTGCTACATTCCTAATTATTACTGCGATAGTGTGGGTCAGGGCAGGCATTTTGTGACATAGACCAGTTGCTGTTTTCCAGGACAGCTAATGGAGTGTATACTTAATCAGAAGGACAGCTTATTTAGGTTCAGGGAGTTTGTTTTAAGGTTTTGATAAATCTTTCAGAACTCCAGTGAAATAGTAGAATGTGCTTTCTCCTTCCAGAGAAAATAATTCAGTGGTGCTGTGTAATGAAAAGTTATATGGAGTTTACAATGTAGATGCATTACACCAAGTCTAGGATTTTAAGAAGCCTGATGGCTTGGTGTGGCAGGCTGACTTCTGCATAAAGGATATGAAATCTCTAGGTAGCTGTGAAAACTTACGGTCACTGACTCAGGAAGGAAGCAGAGAAGAAAGATAAGTGTTTAGAAGGAACATAAATTGCCGTAAGAAACTGAGTTTATAACATGATGCAAACCAGAGTGGTTAAAAAAAAAATAAAAATGAAAACAAACAAATAAAAAACCCCACAAAGTGTTAGAAAATAAATGGTAACCTCCTCCTTGAGCCCCATTTTTGGCTCTTTTCTCCCCACCCTCTATGTGCCCTCCTAATGTGCCTTAAAACAAAAATCCAGGGCAGCGAAACACGTATTTTGCTTCCCTTGTACACTCGCCTTCATTTTCCCTATATCCCAGGTTGCAGCACTAGCAGTGCAGTTAATGAACTTGTCGCATAAAACTCTTCACTGTTGGTTGGGGGTTCTTTTTAATTATTTTTTTAAATTCTTGTATAATTTTGTAACTTTTGTTTTGTCTGTTGCAACACCTCTTTCTGTGCGCTCTTGCCCTTTCCTACGGCTTTTCGATGGTATCCCATGCCACCGCCTTCACTTTCCATCCCATGATCACGCTCCGTTTCCTTGCGCACCTCTGCCTTCCCTTGGGGGAATGTTAGATGAGCTCTATGCTCAGAAACTGAAGTACAAAGCCATAAGTGAGGAGCTGGACCACGCTCTCAACGATATGACTTCCATGTAAATGTCTTCCCAGCTTGTGCCTGCACCTGCTTCCCCACCCTCATTGATTGCGCGGTTCCGGCCTTGTGAAATTACACTCCCTCTGTAGCGGGAGACGCATTCCTTTAGTGAGACTAGGTGTACAAAATACCATGAACAATTTCTTTACCGTGGCAGAGTGTGGGTGAGTGTTGTGCCTAGCCTGGTAAATACTCATGGTGATTTTGTAAGCTGCCTAATAAGCTTGTGTTTACTCTTTCATTCCATATCTGCAGTGGTTGTGTCTTGTGGTTGCTCTTTGTTTGTAGCTCTGCATTTATCCTTTTAGTTCACCTCTGTTCAGGCATTGTCTACCAGGCCCATCATGTTCAGCTTACCAAAGAAAATTGCCTCAGTACATTTTGCTTTCAGAGTGTATTCCTCTGTTGTCACAGTTTTTTCTCTGGCAAAGTTCCTACAAAAGTTTCGAAGAAATTGAGGTTTAGCTGTATTCTCTGTTAATGACAGTGGAAAGTGTTTATCTAAATTGCCTTAACTGCTCTGAAAATTGCAGCTTTATCACTATATTACAAGCGTGGAAGCTGATTTAAAATACTTTGTCATTTAAACCCATAAAAGTGACAGTTGAGTTGTAGGTCGCTTCTGCATATTTTGTGAAGGGGTAGCATTACCTTAATTTTCATATACCAAAAATGTGTTAATATCAACCTTAGTCATAAGAGGAAAACCAGAGTGTATTAGGTGTCAGGAAAGCAGGAGAGTGATCAGTTTTAAGGTGTGACAAGTCTGTGCAGTGTTTGCTACAAACTGACTCTTCTTCTGTCAACCTAAGACTGAACAGAGGTCAGCTATGCTAGATCCACCTTCCCGTGCTCATACCTTTCACTTGCATGAACCCTGTAGGGTTGACACGGGAAGGAGGAAGAGTTGTGGCATTCAAATGCATGTGAGGTGTGATGCTTAGTCCCAGCATGTCTTTTTAGAAGCTAGCCTTGCTTTCAGCAAGGCGTAAGCTCTGCTCAGAGCCTGAAATGTGTTTTGCATGCACCCATATTTTAAAATGTTTTTTCTTGCTTTTCTTCATCCCTATGTCTGTTCAGTGCTTCCCTCCCTCTATCCCAACTTTTTACTAGGGTTCTAATGTTGTCTGTTTTGTATGCTTTGATCATTTATTTATTTAATTCCCTCCACCCAGCCAACATATGCTTTTGCTCAGGAAATGGGTTTATTTTTTCCTCTTCTGTGTAGAGTCTACAGTATTTCTTCAATTTGATGTATTTCTAAATGGAAAACAGACTTAAAAATGTGCTCTACTGGTACATGAGGACCTTACTGTAGCATTCCAGTCCCAGCATGGGGTGGTGTTTCTCTCATAGTCATCTTGGCATGCTGGGCTCTGCTGTGCTGTTGCTTTTTTGGAAATCTTTACTGCACCTTTTTATTTCCTACCTTATCTCACTTTTTCTTTTTGTGCAGATAATTTTCTCTGCTTCACTTCTCCAAAGACATCTTCATCGGGTTGGATAAAACATCTTTCCAAGCTTTGGATGTTTCATGGTTTCATTGTCCTGTCTTCTAGCTTAGTTGACTCTCTTGCTCTTGCACCCGTCTCAGAACATGCTCTGTTTGTGCTCTGCTGTACAGTGACTCTACATCTCTCAATGTAAAATAAACATCCCAGCTGTATCCCTTTTGCTATTCCCTTGCCTTTTATTTATTTAAATAACTATTTCAGTTATTAATAAAAATTGCTTTTTTTGCCGTTAGGAATTTACATATTTTTGGTGTTTCCATTTTTTTTCTGCCAACACTTTTGCCTGAATATTGACAATGCAAAGCCAGTGATAGCAGTCTATGGGATGAGAATGCTACTTTTGGTATTTTGAGGTCAAAACTGACTGGTTAAGGTCTTAGGCTTTCTCAAAATCTGAAGCAGATAAAATGTCAAATAGATGTAATGGGAATTTTTTCAGTTGTTATTGTTAGGCCAAAGTCTGCAAGGACACTACTTCTTGGGGTCACTTGGTCGTGGGAGCATGGCTGAGAGAGCAGTTAAGTCCTTGACACCACATTTTTTTCACTTTCAAGTCTGAAATTTTCTCCTAGCTTGATGATGAAGACTTCCTGGGTTTATATAAATGTGTTTGTTCATGGACTTAAATACTTGAGACAGATTTAAAGGGGCAATATCAACAACTTGGTTTTTAAACCATAAATAGTCTTCTAAATGTCTTGCAGAGAAAGTTTTCACCCCTTTCATACCTTGATTACTCAGCAAAGATGTTGCTTGCTAACTTTTTGTTTTTTTAACAATGGACTTCTCTTGAGTGGCATGATAGGATTGGAAGTTCAACAGGGAGATTTCAGTAGCCTTCCCCTAGTGTTTAGCTCAGATTTGACTTTGAATTGCAGGCTCATGAAAGATGTTTCAGAACTGGAGTAGGAAAACTCTCATTGTTACACTAATACTGAAATGATTCTGCTGCAAAGTAGAACATACAGATTTCAGATTTGAAAACCTGAACATCGGCTTTCAGCTCATTTGGCCGAGCCTAATTAAGGATGGAACATTAAATAATGACAGCATTTTCTATTCAGTTATTTGCAACTAGAGTTTATTGCATTATTTTAACTTCATTTTCCTCACGATGAAAGAAGTTATTTCCCAGTTCATATTAAAGTGAATCAGTTTAAACTGGATTGGTGACTATGCCTGTCACTGTGTGTATATTGCTCAAGTTCTTATTTCACCATAGCTAAATAAACTCATCATAGCATAGCTGAGTTTTAGGTTTTTAGCTTGTAGAATAATTTAAATGTAGCCTTCTTGTTCAAGATTATTCAGCAGTGCAGTCTAGGCTAGATTGCCTCCCCTATCCAAAACCTGTTTTCCAAGTAAGACTTGCAGATGGATGCATTGTCTTCCCCCTGCCATCCTCAGATGTCTTTGTTTCATCCCAGAGTTTTATTCCATGACACGTCTTAATTTTAGTGGGTATGGGGAGAAGCTGACATACAGGATATGTGTCAGCAGTCACAGGTAGTCCAGCTAAAGTTCAGTAACTTACTACTGGCCAGTTGAGATAAAGTGGGTTTATACACTGTGTGTATTACAACTGAAAAATAGAAAGTTTAATGTGAAGGTTAACCAAATGTGATCAGATGAATATTTGTACAATGACTGAACCCAGTGTGGTTTTCTTCACAAATGCAAGAGTTATGGGGAATGTGGTCAGTTGTCGCTTGTCAGCTGAGCCAGAGTAACATATGCTACAGCAACTCCGACACTTTAATCTATGTTGGTTTTGGTTTGTTGTGTCAGCAGTGTTGGTTTTCCCCTCAATTTCTTGCAATACTGTGTTTCCTAAGAGAAGTTAAAAAAAAAAAAGGCAAAATCCGATGTAGGAACCAGGTGATTTTTAACACGGTAATTTTGAACATCAGTATTTAAATCTTCCCTTCTCTTTCAAACATACATAATCGGATCTCTGCACTGTAGGCTGGTGAAATTCTGGACAGAGTACTGGAAATGGGCAGTGCAGTGCAGATACCCAGGTAGCTGTGTACACAGTTCACAGCTGGCCCTGTTACACCGACCTTCACTCC